TAGAGAATTTCATATGTTACTGCCCACTTTTGCAGACAAGGTAGCTAAACATGCTTGGGAGAATTGCCTGGTCATATTTTGCTGGCAAGTTAGATTATCTTCACCTTGTGGAGAGCAAAACATTTATTTCTTATTATGGATTTACTGTCTGAGCAGAAAAGGCTGTGTAAACCCTTTCCAGTCTACAAAAAGGAGTTTGAGACTTAAATTCTTGCAAAGACTCCTTGCTTACTCTGTCTGGCTTAGAAAATCAGACAGTATAATAATCCAATAAACCATACAAAGTGAGTGAATAACCTGGTGGAAATAGTTCAGAAATGAGGTTTGGTTTTTCGTTTTGGTTTTGTTTGTTTTGGGGTTTTGTTTATCAGTTTTGTTGAGGGGTTTTTTGTTGTTGTTGTTTTAGCTTAATAATATATTTTTTGAATAAATTAGTCTGAATGTTTGGTACACAATAATTCTGTTACTTTCTGCCTGTTTTATACTTATGTCCTTCCCCTTTATCATCTATTAGAACAACTTCCCTTTCTACAGAAGGGCTATGTTATTTATAAATTGCCCTTTTATTTGCCATATGCTGTATATGAAGTGGGCCGTAGATGGTAGTTACATGGCTTGAGAATAGAACCCTTAATTTTGATGTGTTTTATAAACACTTGGCAATAAACGGGCTCATCCTGTGTCCTTTGACTTCCGTGGGAGCTCTGACAAGTGTGTTTACGCCAGAAGAAGCGGGCTGCCAGTGCAGCAGAGCGGGCAGCGCGCCTTTGCTTTCAGCACAGTTGTGTGTCCCCGTGCCAAGAATGAATTTTGCCGATTCACATTTGCTCAGTTTGTCAACACACAGCTCCCATTGAACGTGGCGGGACGAGAATCATTCTTGGCACGGGGCCGCGGGCGGCCCGGGGAGCGCGGCCGGCGGCGGCGGGGGCCGTGCTCTGGCCAGGGGAGCAGTGCCCAGCCTTGGCTTCCCGGGTCCCGCCGCTCCCGCCTCCTGCAGCATGCGTTTGCTGCTCTTGGAGTGGTGGGAAGAGTCACTGATAAAAAAGGATTTCCTAGGTTAGTTTTCAAGGCTATTTTTTTGTGTGTGTGGCTGTCTGGATGATGAATGGGAATAGGAAAATACTGTTGACCCATTTAAATCATGTTAGACAACTTCCATTGCTCATCTACATAATGAAATACACACTGAACATTACAGCCTAAGTATAAGAGCCAGGGAACTACAAAAATAATATTTTACTCATTTAGATTATGAAGTAAAATATAGGACATTAGTACTAATGATAGTATTAAATTTTAAGCCATGCAAATTGCAATTGTCAGTGAAAAAGAAGTATAAGTTGAAAAGGCTATTAGCATTTCAGCTTTAACAGTTAATTTCAGTAATTTCTTTTTTCTGCTAGTGTGTAGCTTAAAAAAGTCCATATGCAAACCATTTAATGGTAAGCACAGAAGTGTTTGTTTTATATTGTTATTTAATTTCAGTCATTAAAGAAATGCTAGAAAATAATTTGCAATATTAAAATATATTAGCATTTTGTATTACTGAGAGTAAACTGCAATTTTTACTTGTGTAAAATCAAATATAAAAGGCAAATTATTAGTAACCAACAGATGAAATAATTTAAAGCATTTATTTGAGTACCAAAGCAAAAAATGAAGCCTTTAAAAATATAAATTTTGTTAAATAGAAACAGAATTGTGAGCATTTTAAACTAAATACAAATTTTTAAGCGCTGAATTTAGGCTGACAGGTTTCTATGGTTACCTACCTTTCCAATAGTTTGGTGAGATGTGTAAATAGGCCTGTGAGTCACTAGTAATTATTTGGGTTTTGTTTGTTATAGTTGTAATTCTGTGTTCAGTTTGAATCTAATACAGTTCATACCACATGCTTTGGTTTATGTATATTTTAGTGTGTATGATTGACAGTGATTGAGCATTTCTTATGGAGTGCTTGGTTTTTTTGTCATAAGTGATGTATGTTGGTACTTCTGAAATGTAAACAACTTCTTCCTGTATCACTGTTTGAGAAACAGGGATTTTCATGCTAAAAAGAGGTCTTTGTAAATGTTAAGCAAGGAGATAAGTGAAAGGTGTTTAAAAAACATTTAAAACATCTCCCAAACATTATAATGTACTCTTCCAAATTTGATCTGTAATTCTATCATTATAATTCACTCAGTGACCCAAATGTCACATATTTATGAATAAGCTTCCAAGTTACGCATTAATAGCACAGGGTAATGACTGACAGGTTTAAAAATAAATGTTTTAATCAGGATGCTACAAGTTATCTGCAGCAAGCTCTTGATTAGTACATCTTCTTGTGCAGAGCATTTTCTTGAAAGAAAAATAAGAGCTTATTTCTACCGCCACCACAGCAGTTTAGCAGAAAAAGCTGTAAGCTCTTAGACCTCTCTGCTCCTATACTTTGAAATCTGGATTATGGGATGTAACTCCCCAACCTTAGACTCAGCACTCTAGCAAAGGAAGCATACATGTTTTCTCAGTAAGACTTACTGTCCTAACATAACTTGTGTTTTCAGTGAAAACAGGACAATACACGTAATTAACAACTTCTAACACAAGGCAAGAAACACTACTAGTTGTCAATTTTACCAATTAAGTAATGATGTAATCTTATTTTATTAAGGTATTCATCCCAAAGTTGTTGACCATGTGCACTTTTTTCCTTAATTTTGAGATAAGACTGACCTATGATTCAGAAATCATCTTGTGTCCTTAGAGATTTGGCTGTAGGTGTATGGAAAATACTTACTGCAGGAAAAAGACTGACTGCCTGTTCTCTTCCCATGTGTCAAGCTACACAGAACATCCTGATTCAATGTTCAGGAGCATTCCTAAATTTCCTATGCAAAGATTACTCTTATTTCAGCAATGTTGCTTGCTAACTGAAAGGGTGGAAAACGGATTTTATGGTGATCCAGACGTATTTTTTCCATTTCAGGTGGAAATTTTAGAGGTTAAAGTAGGATTTATTTTTAACATTTAATATTGTGTCAGGCATGTATATAGGACATAAACATGCCAGCTGAAAAACAGTTGTTTCACAGAGCACCTGAAAAAATTTTAACTCGGTAGGATTCGGTGAATGTTAGAGCTGTGGGTAGGTGCATATAAACAAGATTCGGTATTGTGCTGTATATAAGGACTATTTGAATAGCTTATTTTTTTTAATCTGAAACAAGTGCTACTTTTTAAACTGACTTGTTGCAATAGTTGTTTCTTCCCTACAAAATCAAAATCATTAATACAATAACCAGTCTTTCAAGCAAAAGTAATTTCTCTGATCTTTTGAAAAATCTAAAGATAGACAGAAAGTACTTGGAAAATGTATTTAAGTATGGAAGGCTGAACAGATATGTTTCTCATTCTAATTTATTCATTTTATGATAAATTAATTTACTCAATAAAGGAATGCAGTAACATAAGAGGAATGTTTCTCCTGCTAGTCAGAGAAGTTGAAACTTGCCAGATGCTGTGATCTGGAGCCTAAATTCCCTTGATAGTAACTGTGATTGAAACCCTTAATATTGCTTTGTGCAGCTTTTGTACTGGACTTATCTCATTTTGGAGTGATATTGCTTTAGACAACACTGTCTTTTTATTTTCTTCTTGCGTTTTTCTGTCAGAGAGAGAAAATGTAGCAGAAATAACAGTGGGATGGAAGGCTGTGCTGGAGGACTGCGATGCTCTGTTCCCAGTGTCTGTACAGTTTGATCCCGTGTTCTGTAATGACAATTAATTTCCTTTGGTATAGTCATGAATATCACTCAGCTGTAGTTAGATTGTACTCCGTATTTTTTAAGTCCTATAATAAAAGAGGGAAGTACTGTTTAATGGTACCAGAATTTTACTCAGTCAGTTCTGAGTAAATTTATTTCTTGTACTGCCTTGGTGTGACTCCGTGTGTGTATATATATATATACAGTTGAGCAGTTCTGTAATTTGCTCAACTGGTCAAAGGAGATTTTAAGAATATAATACTAATTTTTTCTTCTTGTCTGTTAAAGTTGCACTGTCAGTTGCTGCTGATAAAAGGTGGCATCAAGCCAGCTTCCTGAAGGAGCTATGGGGAGGGTCATGGCTTGTCATGACCTGGGCACCGGTACTTGAATGTTGTTATTATTGGGATGAAGTACCCTTAGGCTGTCATCCTTCCTGTAAATAGAAGGGATTCTGATTCTCTGTGGTTTCCCAGTTTACCAACTTGCAGAACAGCTATTTTGTTGGCCCTAAGTTTGACTGAATAATGAATTAGAAGCACAGCACTATTCCAGAAGGCACTGATTCATCATTTTAGTCTGTTAGTCTAGACTAAATCATAGTAAGTAAAGAAAAACAAAATCTGTTTCCATATAGTTTATAAATTTACAAACTCATTTATATTGGCATACAGCCAACAAATTGCCCAGTTCCACTCTGCATGAAGTAAGGGCAGAATTGTAATTAGCGAGGAGTGTAACTGAGGACCAAAACAGACTTTTTTCAGTGACATGGGGGAGTCACGGTGCTGCTGGCAGAGGGGCTGACTCTTCTCCCTTGGAGTCGGTCCCCATTCGACCGTTGCTATGCTTCATTGCCTCTTAGGAGAGTAACAAGAACAGTCCTGTTAATGCCTCTATTAACTAAACAAATTCTGTCATTAATTTCCAGAAAAATTAAATAAAACAATACCAATTAGAATATAATGTTTGCAAGATACTGGCCTGCGTTTCAGTTTATCAGGGTAGGATCATAAGCGTGCTGTTGTTGAAGTTTTCACCAATGTGTTGTTGTTGTAACTGAAGTCACATCTATCCTGATGAATATTTCATTTCCCCAATCATGCTATTAAAAACAAAGTGTTTTTACCCTTTCATTTCTGCTTTCTCTTTTCCAGTACCATCGTGACAGCTGTGGCTGCGTCCTGTTTACAAATTGCTGCTAGTCACATTTTCAGTAGTCCTTATGGGTTTTGCTTTCCCCTAATACATCCAATTAGGAGGAAATATTTCTCACAAGCAGGGACTTGCTCTTCTCCTTGTAATGACATAGTTCTGCAATCCAGGAAACAGTCCTGCATGGTGTCCATGTCCACGATTTCCTGATGTGGGAAAAACGTGTGGAAAGCATCTGGAGAGGAGGAGACCCCCTTTACCAGCTTGTTTCCTGTAAGCGAAATTGGAAGACCTTGTCTGTGCAAATAGATTTCAAAATAGAGTCTGCCCTTTGACTGTCTCCATAATTACACAGCGCTCTCTGTATTTTATTTGGCTGCCAGAGCAGTTAACCCCTGGAAGTAAGGGGCTGATGATGGCGTGACCAGCACGGGTATGCAGACATGACCATGTGAATACACTCTTGTTTGGAGAAGCCTGTCATTAAGACCTTCTTATAATATAATTTTACCAAATTTGAGAATTATCATGTGTTGGATTATGTTGATTAAGATACGTTATATCCATAATGTACAAAAATGTGAAGGTATTAGTTGCAAAAAAGGAAAAAAAAAAAGAGAAACAAAAAAAAAGTTCTTTCATGGCTTTGATGTAATCAACATCTGTCAACAGAATGAATTTGCTTTTGTTTAATTTCAAGGGCTCTTGTCCTTCTACTTTGCCCAATCAGTTTCAACTTCTGCCTCAGGCATTTCCCTATGTTGTTCTTGGAGGTTTTTTCCTTTTTTTCTTTCTTTTTCTTTTTTTTAGCAAATGCGCAGGTTATTGCATGTGAAATGTGAGCTGGTCTTCTGCTACACAGGTTACACAGAGCTGGAAAGAACCTTTAATCTTTCCCATCCTATTTTTGAAGCTTGGACATACCTTTGCAACAGGGGGGTTACAAAGTCAGTGTTTTATTAGACAGTTGGAATTACAATTACCAGTAAAGGTCTTTCAAACCACAGCCATTATTTTGGATTGAAAAATGGGAACGTTTGGTAATTAGCAGTAAGAAGCTATGTATTCTTACCTAGTTGCATTGGCTGGATTCCACATATTGTTCCTGTTAGTGATTTTTAATACCTCGTTTTAAGCTTTAATCCTCAGAAGTTTCAGCAAAATGAGTATTTGCACAAGAACCTAAATTATGCTAGAGTATTAAAATTACCTGACAAGCCAAATGAAGGATCTCTAGTGTTTTACTTCCAAATGAATACATATTAAGAAAATCTCCACGGTCATTATTTTTTTCAGTTTAAAAAGAAAGATTAAATCGCATAATTTGAGAAGAGTTCTCAGAACAGTGCTTTTGATGCTAACTTTATCAAGAGCAATTTGATTTTATTTTCTAAATAGTTTTGAATGTTAATTCTTGTAATCCTAACTAAATTTGGTACTCTGCTTCTGTTGATACTATGACTAAATTATTTTAAATTATGTTAATTTATTTCTTGTCTCTTTTAAGACACACCCTTGTATTTATTGTAACTCAGAACTGTCATGAAGTTTGTCCATTGCTAATATTTTTATTAATTGCTTGGAAAATTGAAATCTTTAATGAATAAATACCAAAAAATTGTTGCTAACAATCACATTTAATGAATCATGCAAATTAGCAGTTTTTTACCCAGCTACCCCACACTTCATTCATTGGAAACATAGCTTGATAAATTGCTGTAACTGTTAAACAGGAAGCATTAGAAAAGGGCTTATGTGAGAGTTCATTTTCAATATCTCCTGTTAAAAATACTTCTTGACCAGAGGGAAATCACATTTAAATTACTAAAATCAACTTAATTAAGGGTCATTAATAGAGATACACATAAAAAACTCTCCACTCTAGGAGTGAAATGAGAGCATTTCATTATATAGTGTAACACGCATGAACAGATAACAATTAAAATAGCCCTAGAGTAAAAGGCTAATAAATATAGGGCACACTGTGCTGCAAAATCAGTCACTTTAAAATGCTCCCACCCATCATAATTCTTGAATGCAATATTCAGCTGCTCTGACTGACTCGTTTAAAAGGAAAAGAAATGTAATTTCCACACAAGATAAATTCATCCGGTAATTCAGAAGAGCTCACAGTGCATATTTATAGTGTTAATGCAGAGGAAGGTCTGGAAGGTGTGCTGAGGAATCCAGCGGCACACGGATTGCACAGTGGGATTCACTGGCGGCTCCCGGAGCAGTTGGCAGGGATTTTCTGTGCTCGATGCATCCAAGCTGCCGATGGGATTCGGTAACGCTGCTGATCATTCTCCTTAGTGCAGCTGTCAGTAAATACTCTACTGCTCGTGGCAGGTGACGTAGCCTTGCTGTTGGGGTACAGAATAAACACATAAAGGGTCAACTTTATATCCTGGTAGTGCTGGTCTGTTACCAGCCTAGCCAGCTTCACACACTGCAGTTTCTGCTGGAAGATGCATAAATGCCATGTGTATGAATTGTCTTACAGTAATTAGTATACACAGAAAGCTTAACAATGATGTGCCTGAGCATCACTGTTGTAGAAGTAAATAAAGGCACTGAGAAAGCTTTGATGGATGTAAGGGGTGGGGAGGAGGGAATCTCTGAGCCAGACTTGGAGAATACAGACAGTTGTTCCTGTCTCAGGTGATTGATGATGTTGCTATATCAAATTAGCTGGGAATATGGAGCTTGAAAAATAAAAGGCACTGTGGAGGCATTAAAAGGCACTGTGGAGGCCTTCTTAAGGAAGGAAGTGTGTGGATGGAGTCCAGATTTTCATTATAGACCAGTAACTTCATTGTATTTTAATGCCATTTTATTTAATTTTATTTTTACATTGTAGGAGAATGTTTTCTCTTATAATTTTTTATATTTCAAATAAAGGTTTAGTTGTCCTGTGTTTATAATTCTTGTAATATAATTTAGGAATTGTATTTTAGAATGGTGATACTTATTTGCTTGTCTCATTTCATCTGTTCAAATAGTAGATAGTTTTGTATGCATCTGTTTTATAATGAGTAGTTAGTAGAATAACAACAGGCTACAGTACCTTATTATCCTGTTATTTTGTGACAACACTTGCAGTGTATCTTTGGGAGAATAGAAGTAAAAATTTTATTCTGAATAAAAAGGTATCCCTTCTGAATGTGGGCTAGCCAATAGACATGCACCCATGAATATGGTTTAATGTATTTAAGAGTGTGGGTTTGGGGGAGGCATTGGGAATAAATGACAAGCACACTTGCACCTATTCTTCCCCAGTTAAATTGTGACACAATCAACAAGTGCCCAGGGAGCATTCTGGGCATCAAGGAGAGCATTTAAAATACAAGTTCACATATTGATGTGCATGTGGACTTTAGCTAACCACATCAGTGAGTGTGGGATTTCGATATATTTGCAGTACCTTTAGCTGGGCTAAAAGCAAGGTACTTCAACTGCACTTTGTAAAAGAGGCAACTTGGCTTACACTGTCAGAGTGATTGCTACTTCTGATGGCCCAAAAGTTGCTGCCTCAGCAGATTCTGTGCTTCCAAATTCCAGAAATGAGAATAAACCAGACAGGGAGTTTGTAAGATGCTTTGGGTTCTTCGGATGTGCTTACAGTTGCAGTTTAGGTGACTTTCTGGGTATTTCTGGGTATATTTAGGTGGTTTTTGTTAATTGGACAATGATTTTTTTTTTCTTGTGAAGGAGACTCTAGGAAAGTAGATTATGAGTCTGCTGTTCAAGTTCTAGTTAATGGACTGCCACATCAATCCAGCCCTCTGTTAACTGGGCGGCTCCACTTCCTTGGAGACACTTTCTTCTGTTTTGAAGCAGGCAGCTTCCATTGGGTACTTAGGTTATACTCAGAGCTTGAGGTGAATCTCACCCTTCAGCTTCACTTTGTTATTTATCAACAAGTCAAACAAACAAACAAACACACCAAGCTAAAAACCCAAACAAAACAAACAAACAAAAAACCTACCACCACAAAAAAACCTCCAACAACCAAAACAAAATAAAAAACCAACCAAACAAAAAAAATTGGCTTGAGTGAAAGTTTCTACACCTAGGTTTTAACTTTTCAGATATTGGTACTTATATGTAACCCTGACCAGTGCAAAGAGACAGTCAGAAACATTTCTAATGCAAACCCGATGAAACTATTTCAGTCTGGGTTTGGGGCTCCAAAACAGTGCATAACTCGAATCTTCTGTATGTCATAGAGTACTGTAAAAGAGCTGTCTTTGAAAGATTGCACATGTGGAAGGATAATTTCTGCATCTGAACATGATAAATGCACCCAAAAGAAAGGAAGGAAGGTACAGTAGAATAAAAAACATGAAAGATGTAAAAGAAACTCTTCTGGAAATAAACATTTTTACATAGTTACAAAATATGCAGGGGATTAATTTCTTAATTTCTGTGGTATAAAAATGTTTAGTTACTTCTCTTTAAACAAAAACTTTTTACTGAAGAATAATTGTTCATTTGGATTACTTGCCACAAGATTGCTCTTGTATTTGTATACATAATGACATTTTTCAGAAGCAGATCAACTGTTATGTTAAACTTATGTTTCAGAAAAGAGCCCTGTTTATATTGTAAAACATTTGAGTAGTGGAAATACACACTGTGTGTAATTGTAATGTAATTGGGCAGTGTCAATAATCCTTTTGAATTTCCTGGTTTTGATGCTAGCATTGTCTTTTGTGGTGCATTATTTTGGTTTTGATGTCTCTGAGAGCCTTTGGGCCTCAATTGCCCTTTCTTTTCCCTTTTTAACTTTTTTTTTCCTTTTTTCCTTTTTTCCTTGTCTTGTGGAGGCAAAATGTATCATTGCCCAACAACTAAGTTTGAGCTATGAAACTTTCATCCCAAATTCCCATGTGAATTAAATGGAAATCTGATTGAAATACTCCAAATAAATTGCACTTTTAATCCCTTCAATTACCTGTGGCCAAGATTAAAAATACCTCCCGAAGTTTCTTCTGTTACCCCTGAACAAAATGAACTATTCTTTGTGTCTTGAGCAACAAGACAAAGAGCAACATTACCTTTGTTATGCTCAAATCTGTGACCAATTCTGCAAAAATACAGCTGAAAATATTGTATGAAATAACATTGTCTTCTTTTTTTTTTGTCTTCTCTTTTCTTGCTATTGTGTCTTATTAACTGCTTTGCCAAGCCTTGAACAGTGCAAATTGCTCCAAGCAGAGGCCTGTTAGAGCATCACTCCTGTCTGTAAACTGTGGGGAATTTACTCACACTGCTTTTTAATGCATCAAACCAAAACAGATTTGATATTTTATAAAGCTTCAAAGTATTGTTTGGGAAGTTTCTTGTTCTCATATCTTTTTGTTCTTTCTGCTCTCTCTTAAACAGTACAAGATTTTAATTACCCTCGGCAACTACATGAGTTCTGTGCCTTATTTTACATTATGCCCTTCTTTTTGCATATTTTCCATTTTGTAGTGTGTAGGTAGAAAAAAATGTTAATATTTTTTAATTTATCTGTTAACAGGTTCTGTGACTGGCTGCCATATAATCTTTTCTTTGTGCAATCATAACTACCTGCACAGACACTCAAGCAATCATCAGCAAAGATGCTTCTTCTTTCAGGGACAAAGAAATGCTGCTTATAGTGTAGTTTGGCCAGCCGTGGTTTCTCCAGCTCACCAAGTTCCTAAGGTACTGCAATTTCTGTTACCTAATCTGTTCTTCAGCGAGTCTAGAGTTTGATTGCAGTCATGATCAAGTGTATTTGTTGTCCAACAGCTGGGGGCTGGATCACTGTCCTGTTGCTTGTTCTGGTATTTGAAATAGGAGAACTGATGTCCAGCTGTCTTCCATGTTAAACACAATGATGTATTTAGCTATGAGGGAGTTCAAACCTGGGGCTTGTTTAGTTATAGTAGAATAAATGTGAGTATTATAATCATCTGTCAACAATTCTGGGTCCAGATTCTTGTTTGGAGCAATGGTAGACTGTCTTACCAGAAGTCAGTAGGAATCATTCATGATCATCCGAGTCCCCTTCTGTATAAATCTCTAGCAAGCAAATTATAAAAATGCTTGTATTTTGCTGATGATTTTTAAACGCTGGTTATGTCAGAAAGAGAACATACAATACCTGCTGGTAGCTGTCCCACAACCCCGCTGCACGTTTTAAACTTGTCTTTTTTGTGCCTGACTGCTCTTATTCCTTGCAACATATATTTTCGGTTTTATTTACTTTAAAGCCAAAAGGGACTTTTTGATAGAAATGCAAATTTAACATGTGCTCCACTTCTTGTTTCCTTTTTTTCCGTTTCTTTTTTTCCCCTGTTTAATTACAGCATACAGATTAACTGTTTAGTATCTTTCCTTTAGCCAAAAGAAACCAAACTGTTTACCCTTCTAAACAGTGCTTCACTGGATGTGAATTAGTACTTTTTACAGTGTTGTTTCTCATTTTAATATAGATTTCTTATGACAAATATAGGGCATTTCCATGGGCCAGATATACTAAAAAGTTATTACATAGGAAAACAGAGAAAAATGATGGAAGTAGGGCTCTTAGCCCTAAGAAGTTGTGTGCAGGGAGAACATAGGGTTACATGCTCTATATATTTTCAAAAGCTTAAAATCACAGAATTAAAAACTTTATTTTCTGTATTTAGATACTTCTATTTAGGATAAAGAGGAAGAAATATATTGTCATAATGAAAAGTTGTCTTCCCAGATCAGAGTTCTCAGACATGGAAAAATCAGTCCACATCTATGAACTTTGAAAGGTTGAGGGCAAAGTTTTTACTTTTATTCAGAGTATGGCAGAAACCACATTGAAATAACAGTGTTTTTTAAGATGTTGGTGTGAAACTGTCCACATGGACATTTATATTTACTCTGCTTTGGGCTTCTCCCTTCACAGTTCTTAGAGGTCAGTAGGATCATGTCTCAGTTAATAGGTGAGTGCCCTCCAAGGGGAAAGCCAGGGTGATGCTGTGTATGGAGTTGCTAATCTAACAAATGGCATTGTTTTGGTAGTTTGTTTGTTTTTTTTTTTTCACTAAGGCCCAAACTACTGCAATAGGACGTTGTTACGGTTGTTAAAAAAATGGGAAATTCTGTTGACATAAGTTTGCTAAAGATAATTTCATAGTTTTTATCAGATTAGTCATAAAATACCTGTAACGGTAACAGTAGTCTTCCTGTTTAAAGTCCCAATAGAGTTTGTCAGTTGCCTCACTCTTTGTTACTCCTACACCCTGTTGCTGTATGGTTGTTTTGTGTACAGCCAAAATGCCTACTTTGTTTTCTGCCTGCCAGCTTGACTCTGTAAAGTCAGTGCAAAACTCACCCTGTGGCCAGCATGGCAGAAAATCAGCCTGGCTGTCATGGGCAAAGGGATTCTTCCACAGCCAGTGAAACAACTCAAGACCCTCTGAGAGAAAGTTCATTTCCAACTCTATGCAAGACATTACTGTTCTTATTAGCTTTCGTGTTTATAAAAGTTGTTAAATTGTTGTGGATTTTAAAAAATCTGATATTAAATTTCACCTCTTACAAGGGCTGAGAAGTTATTGTGTGGAAAAAATGAGGCTTATTACTCTTCCCTTGACATAGCAAATTGGGATACCTTTGTGTAGTGTTGTAGATGGACAAATTTAGGCACAGCATATGAACTAGATTTATGTGTAAAAGCCTCTAAATTAAAATCAGTTAAATCCTAAGATTCTTAGTCAAAAAGCAATCTCATGGATTTTTCAATAGGAGTTTTGTTTGAATGAGAAACACAGGATTTGATCAGGTTTAATTTTGAGACTAATTCTGTATGTTTGTCCCGTCACTTCCAGTGTTAGATGCCTTTTGTAGAAAACGCCCCTCTTTGCAAAAGAAAATGAAGAGTTTTAAAGTCTTTCTCCCAGTTTCTTAACTTGAGACTGTCTGTGCTGGAAGTCAGCTGCAGTATCTGGGTTTCAGCACTGGAAGGCTAGCAGACTGTGTAAGTCAGTAGTAACAGGCAATGTTAAGTTCAAAAGGGCAGTGGAAGAAATACTGAGGCAGCCTTGAGGGTTTGCCCTGATGGCTTAGGAAGGTCGATACCACGACAGAAAGGGCAAGCTGCCATGAAGCAGGAGGCAATATCTGAGAAAATGATCCCATTGTCATGCTCAGTTTTCTGATCTTCATTTTCAATCCTTTTTCTCCAAGCACATAAAGAAGCCAGACTATGTGACGACAGGCATTGTACCAGACTGGGGAGACGACATAGAAATTAAGAATGAAGATCAGATTCAAGGGCTTCGTCAGGCTTGTCAGTTGGCCCGTCATGTCCTGCTTCTGGCTGGAAAGGGCTTAAAGGTAACAATTACAGAAGTCCCAAAACTGCTTGGGTGTTTTTTATGTTTTCACTTATTTGGGTTTTCTTCCTACTTTTTTGTTCTTTTAACTTTCCTATTGTGTGCATCCAACTTTAAGTTTGATCCTGAAAAAATAAGGATTTATTAACTTTTTATTCAGTTCATGATATGCCTGCTTAATTATTTCTGTACTTTGGACCTATGTAGTGCATAGTTACTGGCTCAGGTGTAATATCTCTGTGTTTGTCATCTCCCTCTCTTCAGATTGTGTCAAATCGTGTGAGCTTCTCCTAAGGCACATGCTAAATTTTTTCCTTTCATTTCATGGCCCATCTACCTCATATGTCATGCTTTCCAGCTCTGCATGTGTACAAGCCCACACTTGGTCTGCCTTCTCCATTCCTGTCCATCCTTCAGCCCTCACTGTCCTGTGGGATCCAATGCAACTCGTAGAGCTGCCGCTGGAATAAACAGCTGCCAAATTCTACACAATTTTCCAGAGTGCATTGATAGTACAGCTTCATGATTTCCAGAAATGTTCCTAGAGTATGCTTTTTAGGATACCTCCCAAGAAAAAATGTAGAGGGAGGAGCCTACTACCAGGTTTTGCAGATGAAGAAATGCTTTTTTAGCCTTGCCTTGGTATTTCATGTAATAGCATATTGGATAAGGTGAAATGGGTTGAGTAGCTATGAGATGCAGAGATAGATGGGGACTGTAGGTCAATGCCATTGACTTAAAAGGGGATTTTTCTTTCAGCTATCATCACTCTTTCACAAAGGTATAGTTCCGGAGCTGGAATAGCAAATAACAAAATTGCGTGAAGCTTTCATCTTATATAGCTTTGTGCATGTTTAACTTTTTAATGTTCAATTGTTTTTCAGCACAATAAAACTTACTCATTTAAAGTTGAAGGCATATACATGTTTCCAAAGGATCAGGGTGCAATGTGGTTTTGAATGAGAGCAATTTTTCACAAATACTCTTTGGTTGTTATCATGTGTAAATACACATGTATGCAGTATGGTGTACTTTATGATGCAGTTCATAATATGTGCCAAATCATACATAAAGCAAAATACTACACATGTATAATGAATGTTTTGGAGCAAAAAGGTGTATAAGGTAATAATTACATAACCAGGACCTGTGTACTGGAAGAAAGCTGGTATTTGGAGTTGCAATGCTAAAACCATGGTCCAGGTCAGTCAGAGACTGGTGGTGAGCTCTGTTTTACACAATTAAGTGTTTGTTCAAGACTCCACTCACTGGGAGGATGCTCCAAAACCCTCCCTTATTGACAGTGAGCATCTTCTGCTTTCCAGTCTGTTGCTGCATGTGGTCAGTTTATGCCCATCTGTTCTTGTGCCAACACTGCTCTTTAATTTAAACAGTTTCCTGCCTTTCTGTGAGTCTTCCCCTTCATGCAGGAATAGAACTGTGCACCAGACTGAACAAATCAAGCTCTTTTAGCCTAATCTCATATGCTAAACTACACTCCTATTTAACCTGAAGAATCCCATCCCTCCACCTGTTCCTGTTATCTTGCTGAACCCACCTTGCACACAGTCCTCCAACCTGGCTCTTGCCTGTGCTTTAGCTAGTGGCAGTCAAGATCCCCCAATATAACAAAGGTGCATTATAATCCATGGATACAGAGAGACAGAGTTTGAACGTGGTTTTGATGTTGCCATTACCACCTGTGGGATTTCAGATTATGATACAGTGTTATATATGATAGCTTTCCCGAGTTTGAGTTACAGATTTAGGAATAAAAACACAGATTATGTGACATGAAAATACTTTATTCTATACCGTTGAATTGCCCTGTTCTGAGTAAAGGATTAGGGGCACAGCAGGTGCCACCCCTAACTTGCCCAGCTAGCAAAAGTATCTTTAAAAGTAAAGCACATGCTGTTAAAAGCAGAACTTTGCACAGAGTGTAATCCATGCAGAGACCAGAGATCTGTCTGCTGAGTATCCAAAAACCACATCAAATTGCTTGGGCAGAGAAGCAGTAGACAGCAGCCAGTCAGGTACTCAGCAGTTCGGTTTGTCTGTGGGCTAAAGATGAAGATGTTTGAGCAGATGCAGGAGCCACAAACCTGTATTTATCCAGAGCCAACGGCTGCCATATCCAATCCAGAGAGCCTGCCAAGGCTGCGGCTGCAACACAGGGACATGTGCAGTAATCCCAAATCCTGGTCTTGAACCCACGTTCATTGCTCCTCACCTGCCCAACTATGTTTCCGTGCTGAGCAAAATTCAGCTGAGTAAACAGACCTGGTTTTATCCTCAGCACAGTACACAAGTGCACTCTCCTGTATTGGCTGTGCATGGCCGTGCAGTATTTCACTATATTACTGTCTCCTGCACCACAGCCTACCTGTATTCCACATGTTACTTCAAAATCACAGCCACTGTGACATTTCCTTCAGTGTGCCAAGAATGATACTTGTATCTTTGCAAAGTATGATTTTCAAAGGCTCAGAACTCATTCAAAGCAAAATCAATTTACAGCGGAACCCTCAAAAGTACTTCTCAATTAGAGAGGTTTCCCTACCAAATTTCAGCTCTAACCATTCCAGAGTTGATCCAAAAGAAAAGCAAGAATAATATTATTTTAAGCATGTGTACTTTGCACTCCATGGGTACCCAGAAAATGGCTGACTGATTTATGAGAGGGATTTTTTAATATGTAAAATCTTGTGGAAAAGATGAATCTAGAAAACATCAAGCATAAAAATGAAGATTTCTAAAAATGATGGATCAGCACTTGTAGATTCATTATGATCATCCAGGCTATGGCAACTTTAAGTAAAATATCCTTAAAATTTGCATCTCAATATTTCAGTGTTTTATAAAATTTAGGAATACCTGGAAAACAATTTCTTAAAATGCTTAAATACATTATGATGAATGTACTGGGCAATTACAAGGCTTAATATCCTTTCTTTTACAAATAAAAGAGGAAAGTAATGTTGTGTTTTAAGGGACTGAAAGCATTGAAACAAGACATTTCTATAGTAGCTACTGAAACGATGACATGGGAAATTGGTGTCTTTGAGAAAGTAGATATGGAAAAGGGAGCAGAAAGGAAGTAGACAGGATTTTAGGTTTTCTGGGAACCTTTGAGTGCTTATTTCTATTGCATGCTTTATTTAAAATCTGTATTTTGGAGGGTTTTTCAGAAAAAAAAAGCCTCCATATATCAATAAAGTATATCAGACAGTATCGTGTTTTGTATCAAAGCAGCATATTTGAAACACCCAATATTTCATTGAAGCTGGGCTGCAATCACATTCAGTAAATATGAGAAACTCTCTTTGCTTTTTTAGCAGGATGTTATGTTTGATATTTTAGGTTGGCATGACAACTGAAGAAATAGATTCCATTGTTCATCATGAAATAATCAGACAGAATGCCTATCCATCACCTCTGGGCTATGGAGGTTTTCCAAAATCTGTTTGTACTTCTGTAAACAACGTGGTATGTCATGGTATTCCTGACAGGTATTTCCTCAATAATGTACATTTTACAACTGGAAATTAAAACGTTAAACTGGAATTAATAAATTGTATTTAATGTTGAATGTACTTCAGCTTAACTAAATGTCGTACTTAAATGTGTTGTAGATGCAGAACATGTTACCCTGTGATGCTGATAGGTGTTACAGAAATATATGTGAAATATGAAAAAAAAATATATTATCCTGTTTTTCCAGTCACTTAAAGAAAAATAGCATATTGCATTTTGAATTTAGTATGTGTTAGGGAAAAAAACCCAGTATGGTCTGATTTTTTGTTCATCCAGAAAAATAAGTATAGGCTAAGGAATAAATATATTTGAATTTATGTGGGATTTTTTTTTTATATTCTCAATACATTCACTACTCACAAAGTAAAATATGAACCCTAGTGAGAGAAAAAGAATAAATATAATGGTAGATTTTTCAGGTGTTGATATGTTTTTCTGGTAGTTGTTTCTCATTATTTTATATTCAGCTACACTTGTTCTCTAAATAGTCAGAGCTGAACATTAAAAATGGTTATTCTGTTTGCTTCTGCCTTCCTCCATCACAAAATATCTACCCCTTGATTTTTTATGTATGTGTCATTAGGTGTTTATTCTTATATTCCCTTTGTTGGGGACTGTCTGTCACCATTATTTTTTTTTTCTGTTTATGTTTCAGTCGACCTCTTCAGGATGGAGATATTATCAACATTGATGTCACGGTGAGTAATTCATATAAAAAAATAGTCTTTGATCAACTTTAGAATCACTAGTAGCAACAGGAAGAATAGTGGATTGGAGGTGGGGGATGCACAGATGGATGTGCTGTTTACTTCTGAGCCAAGGCACAAGCAGCTGGTTTCCTTTTTTGTTTTTAACTGTGTGTTTATTCCAGCTAGACTCAGGCCTGACTTGAATTTAGGACTGGAATCAGATGCACTGAGATCAATGTTGGCCTAAGTGAAATGTCAACCCAATCCTGCTATGTGTCATGTTTTTGAGAAGGTGTAATTGTTATTGATCCACTGTGTAGTTAATGCAGAGCACCACAGTACTGGGCAGCAGCTGAAGATAGATATGTATGAGATGAGCTAACATGAAGAAAGCCAGCATTTTTCCTTCACTCTGCCAAGATTGATCTTCCTCTTCCTGCTGATTTTGAGTGGGGCCTGACATTATCTTACTCTGTCATTAGAGGCTGCATTGGCCTGGGTATGTCAGTCTATTTGGACAGCAACTCTTTTGCTAGCAGTGTTCCCTACATTTATTAAAATCCCCGAAGGTAGTGTTGTGTTCCATTTCTGGTATAGAAGCTCTGAACCTTTTGAGCAGAAACAGAAATAGTGTGATATAACTGTGACTTAATATTTCCAGGGAATCATCAATTATAGCTATTTAAATAAACACAAGCTGGGTTTTCCTAGGAGCAAGAAAGCACAGGAACTGGAAACCTAATTCTCATTTCATTTATGAAATAAAAAATATTTGTGTCTTACTAAAGTTTTTTTTTTCTTTTTGCTGTGCATGTTTTTATTTTTCTGAAGTGCTGTTTATTTCTAGTGTGAACACAGATTTTTTTAATCCCTCCATTATTTTGCAATAATATGTCACATACAAGAGAGTAGAATCTTGTAAAAACAAGGGTTTTAAATCATTAAAGAACCTATTGGTAACTTGATACTGTGTTCATACTGGCAGAGTGAAGAAATCTTCCGCAGACCTACCTCTGAGTATGAGATTCAAGCTTTCTAAAATATTTTTTCTATTAAAATTAGGGTCAATGACCTTTTTCCCATTACATACTCACATGTGATCCAGAACTGGATTTGGTTTGGCTTGGGGTTTTGATCTTTTTATATTCTTTCCCATCTCCATACTTTCTAATCGTAGAATTCTGACTATCAGGTTTACACAGTGCAATCTAGCATTTTTAAACTTTATTTTTGGCCTTCATGTTAACTTTGGTGAACTGGTCTCACTTTGCTCAGTTTATTAATCTAAATCAGTTTGCAACAACTAAGGATTTAAATCATATTTCTTTGTACCGCCTTAAGGTTCATTTTACTTTTTGTTCAGTCTGTCAGGATGATAATGATACCTTAGATTTAAAAAAAGTATAGACTCATACCACAGATACTTTCCATGATAAACTAAATTAAATATTTTTTAATATTAAAATAGTGTGCATATCTTGTCCACTCTGCTTCATAAATGTCTGACTAAATGTTACTGGCCTTTTTGCAGACATATATTTATTTCCTTTTAATTTAGTCTCATAAAAGAAAATAAATTTTGACATTTCTGTGAATATAAAGATTCCTGCAAGGATGGGAATTGCTGACTATCTTTGTAAGATTTTTTTTAATCATTTAAAACTGAACTGTGCTGTGTGTGATAATTGCTTAGTCTAAAACAGCTGAGGAAAAAATACTACTTTTCAGCATTATTAACTGATCTTTTAGCTTATTTTTAATGAGCAAAACTGGGACATTTCACAGCTGGACAGAATAAAAATCAAAGTAAATATTGCACAACAAATTGTTTATAATTGTGTACAGGTTCTATAAAGTAATTAAATAATACTCAAGTTGTTAAGTGTAAATACCTAGCACTGTGTGCAGATTATCTGAACAAAAAAATCTATTTTAGCACAGTTAAGATGGTAGCATTTCATAGATGAAATACAAATTTTATAGGCTTGAATCATGTGGACTTGAAAATGTGTTTTAGTATAGAGACAATAGTGTTATCCATTACTGGATCCTCAGCATAGTGCAATTTTCAGCCTATTGTTACCAGGTTAATGTTTCTTACAACTTGGTTCTTTCACTGAATTTTAAGGAAATAGTATGTTACAGTTGCTGTGGTTGTAGTTTATTAACATCAGAAATATGTAATTGCGGCTGATGGGCTGCAGTAAATATTATTATTTGGTTTGTTGCTGAGTTTTTTTGTTGTTGTTTGTGGGTTTGGTTTTTTTTTACTCTCCTGTGTTTTAAATCTGTCCTTGCTTTTCCAGGATGATGATGCTTAATGTTGGGAGTTTGTGTGTTTTCCTTGCTAGAGCTAAAAACAAATTAGTTTAATTTAAATGTGAACTATCTGCTTTAAAACCTGCCCAATGGGCATTAAATAAAAAATAAAAAATTATTTTGTGGTAGTCTGAACTGGCAGAGGAAGGTATAGAGCAGAGGATTGCAGCTGTTTTTGCCAGAGCGGTGGCAACAAGTTGGGCCCTTGCTGGCACTCACCTTTCCTTTAAATACTCCTTGCTCCTAATGGCCTGCATTTTCTTTATATCTCAACTTGAAGACAAACCTGGCCTTGAGATAAACTGTCTGTAGTGTGGGGTTTTTGGGGTTATGGGGTTTTTTTTAGTTTGGAATCAACCAAAAAGAATGTGAGTCTGTCTTTCACAAATAACTTGCCAGTGGCAAAAGTTCAGTGGTTCAAGCTCGGTGAGTAATTAGTTGTAGAAGGATAGTTGCCCACTGTTTGGGGGAGAAAAAATGTTTTAGAAGATCAAAACTGTGCACCATTATAATTTGTCTTTTTGTAGGGAAATATTGCTTGGTCTTACAATTATGGGCCTGCCTGCCATGTGCATTTTAATGGTATGTTGCAGATCTCTGTAGTGCATAGCCAGGATTTCTTGTGCTCAACAGAGGATTTCAGGAGGGCTAACATTTAAAACCTATGAAATTTCAAAAAGAAAAGAAAAAAACCAATATGTAATGAATTCAACAGCATGTTCCATTTTCAGAACATCAAATTTTTCAGTGCCACAGCAGTACATTTATTGTCTCAAAATTTATCTCTGGAAATCAGAAGTAAAATCCAATGTTAATGCCATATTGTAGCTTAAAAATGAGATTAAAGAAAACCTGCAACAGCTGACAGTGGGTTTGGTCTGTGGGGTTTCCTCTGGCCGTTGGTAGCAGGGTATGGCTCTCAGCTCAGAGCTCCGGTGGGGGCTGCTGCCTGCAGACCTTCACCTCCCTGCCAGCCACCAGCAGGTTCCCCCGTGGCCACGGCCAGCTGGGGCTCAGTCCCTGCCCCTCTGGGGTGCAAGCAGGTCCCTGGCTGCAGCGGGTGCCAGGATGGGTGGGCACCCAACAGCCCCCAGGGCCCACCTCAGCCCATTCACATCCCCCACCCATCTTCTCCCAAGCAGCCCAGTTATCCTCATGTCCTGAGCAGTGTCACTGCCTGGTGCGCGGCTGGGCACTGATGCACAGCTTCTGCTTTGCTTGAATTTTTAATTGGCATCATTGGCAACCCTTAGGCACTTTGCAGTCTTTCAAGCTTTTTTTTTTTTTTCCTCTGCAATGTTTTGCTTTTCCAGTCTTGCAAATATGACTTACCTGTCTATCTGTTGCAAAATATAGCTTGTTCCTAGAAAGAATGGATTTAATTAAGACAATGATTTGTTTCTGGATGCAAAATGAGAAAATGTCTTTGCATTTCTGTATATGTTTAGGTGTATTACAATGGCTACCATGGTGACACTTCTGAAACCTTTTTGGTGGGCAATGTGGATAAATCTGGTGAAAAGTTAGTGGAGGTTGCCAGGAAATGTAGAGATGAAGCAATTGCAGCTTGCAGACCAGGGGCTCCCTTCTCTGTAATTGGAAACACAATCAGGTAAGCCTTATATTGACAAGTAAAAGGAGGGCTGGCAAATGGGACAAAGGTTATTGGTGGTTTGGTATAAAGCTGATGACATGTTTTATGATTCAAAACCATCATTTCAGTCTGATATCAGTATGTGAACTGCCAAGCTATAATGTTGTTCCTCGGATAAGAGGTATTTTTTTTTAAGTGAATTACACTAGGGTCAGCAAAGATAACTGTAGAAAAAGACAAATATATTCATAAATTAGATTTAAATTAACAGATGTAATTTGCAGTGGGCTTTTGTTTATTTTTTATTTGTATGTGATACTACACCACATCTGTCTAACGGTGTAAGACAGTTAGAAACCATTGTTTTCATTGACTGTTACAAAGGAGTTAGTCAACATAAATAAGCTCTTTGTTTAAAAACTACAAAAATATTTAACTCGAGAGCTTCTGATCTTACAAAGAGCAGTGCCTGCTAACATCATAGGGAAAAAAGAGCTGACATTCAGAGATTTTTCCCTGTTTTGCATCTCTTCTAGCCTTCGCATAAATGCAGTCATGATTCTTCTGCTGATGGCTTTAAATAAAAATGTCTTAGTTTTTTGAAGGTACCTATGGATTATTTTAAAATGTTTGCCAAAAGAAAGAAATAGACATATATCATATACATTTCATTAAGCAATACTTCTTCGGACTGCTAATGGTCCCAACAAGCTATTGAATTCATTCTGATTACTTAAAAGCTGCAAGGCTTAGTCACCTTGAAAGGATGCTGCCTTTTTTTTTTCGTTGTAAATCTTGAAATACTTTAAGAAAAAAAGAGAACGGCAAAATATCAGTTAGATGTATTTATAGCTTTAAAAATATTGTAACAGAGTCTGAATCAAACTTTAGTAAAACCTCTTTGGGTTATATCTGAGAAGCTTTTATTGAAGACTTTGTATAAAATTGTGTTTTTGACAGTTTTAAATTATAGGCTAACTAGCCTGGAGAAAAAGGATAGTGTCTTTCTGTTCTTTCATAGGAAATGTTGAATCAGACCCCTACTGGGAAAAGAAATTTAATGCATATCTCACTATCTTACTGTCCATGAATATAATAGAAGTGAATTCAAAATGTAGTTTTATTTTTGCAAATGGGATGAGTCGATAGATGCACCTCATATTTTTGAACACCTAGGGTTCAACAAATTTACTGGTGGTGCTCTTGCATTTTAACAAAATTTATTCTTGAGTAGAAGGGGGCACAGAACACTGGATTCTTATTCAAGCATTCTATCGAGCTCTGCATTCATGGCTGTGTCTAAAGGGCATGTCAGCCTTTGATTCTCTCTGAGAGGTAATTATCCTTTTCCTGTCACGGAACAACAAATGATAGCTAACTACAGAGGCACATTTGCAGTAGTCACATTCATCAACTGCAGAAAAAAAATTCAATTTAATTGTGCAACACAGCTGCACATAGGCTTTTTGAGCATTTCTGTTGTTCTCCCTGTCTTGCTATTCCTCCCTCCAGATCTATTTTTTAAACTTTTTTTTTTCTGGTTATTTTTTCCCCCTTTTTGTCTCTTCTTCCATTTTTACTCTCTGTACTTTCTTGTTAAAGTAATTTTCTTTTGTGGCTCTCATTCTTTTTTCCCCATTGAAGGCTATGAATGTAGAAAATTATCACAATTACTCATATAATTGAGCCTCTTTGTAGCAAGTGCAACTCCAGTAGCCTTTCTCCATCATGAAAATGGTTTCATTATAGGGTTTTTCATATTCTCTGACACCATCTACACAGAGGAACAGGCGTGCAGATGAGATGTACTAGGAACAGGGTAGATCAGTAAGGTCACAGTAGGAATAATTAGCTCTGCTATGGAAAGAGCATCTAGGCCTTTTACTGCTACATAAATGTACTGTCCATGGCTTTTAGTCACAAAAAAACTTACTAACAAATGGAGCTCCCGCCTACTACTTTGAAAAAAAGATTTGTATCAACACTACAATTTTCCATCATTAAGACTAATAACACAGAGCCTAGTATACATCAAGGGGAATAAAAAGAAAAATCTCACATTCAAGTGGCGGCTGGGTGCTGACCTTTGTTCCCTTTTTTTGTGTTCAACTTAACTCTTTACAAAAAAGAGCCACACGCCACACCAACATGCAGGTGAACTCCAGCTAGTGCTAGCAAAGCATGGCATTCAGTTGGAAAATCTGATAAATCTCCATGCAGGATAATGCATTTCATTACAGATTCACTACATTAATTCTAGCTGTTTTTTTAAAAAAAAAAAAAAAAAAAAAGAAAAAAGGAAGAAGAAGAAAAAGAGCAGAGTTGAATGTGACATTGGATTTTTGCTGTGTTGTTGCAGAGGTCAGTTTCCCTGCAAAATGTAAATATATAGTCAGTGTCCCCTTTGCAAAGCAGATTAATTGAAGCTAGTAGCTATTCAAAACTGCATATGAAATAGCAGGTCATTAACTTTATTTCTCAAGATTTTATCGTGTTGACAATTTAAATGTGCTGATTTGTTTAGAATTACTTTAACACTCCCTCTGCTGAAAGCTCACCTTGGCTTGGTGAAGCTCTGTGTTTCAGGTTATTTGTCATTTGACATTTGCTTACAGACAGACATATATATATATATAAATCTCAAGTTTCACAAGAGTTAGATATTATAAATGCCTGAGAACAAGCACCTCCGAGCTGAAAACATTTAGGTCCGTCAGAATGGAAATGTGTCTAAGTTTCTTTCATCAGTTTTTCTGTAAAGGTGCTCCAGTCATATCCAGAATGCATCTTATGCACAAATAATGAGAATATTTCCTTTCTACAGTAGGTTTCAGAATAATTATATCTCGGAGTAAGTTTGCAGTCAATATTCTAACACAGTCTTTGTCATGGAAGCTCAATAGCTGACACTGAGTTATTTCACTGATAGCAGTTCGTTCTTCCATCAGCTACAAGTTGCAAATAAAATACTGCATGGGTTTGTGAGTTACTTTGTTTAGAAAAATTTGGATCTTTGTTTACTTCATATCAAAACTATTGGTCTGTTCCTGTGTAAAAGGAATTGGTCCCTATGGTCCATTTTCTTCTACCATTTCTGACATTTTCAGACAAAAATATATCTAGTTTGAAATCTGCTTTTTAGACAGTGAGTCTAAGTGCATGAAAGTGTTAGGAGTGTAGAGAGCTAAAGAACTTAAAAGCAATGTTGTTAAATAAATCAAATTTCAACTCCTACAAAAAATAGTAGTGGTGAAAGTATTAATAAATGGTTTAAAATGTTTAACTAGTAAGTATATGTTTTGATATTAATTTAGAACAATATAAAGCAGATTTTTAAAAAAATCTGTTTCTATCAGATTATGCACATTTAAACAATAAGTGGCTCAGGCAAAATAAGTCATTTTAATGTCATCTGTGATAGATTTTCCTTGACAGCTACTGTAAATTACAATTACACTGCTTCTCTCTGCACTTGAAAGTAAGCATTGCAATAAATTATCTTTTATTTCAATCCATCATGTCTGCTTTCAGAAACAGAGAACCTCAAATAAAAGTTCAGCACTATTGTAAGAAAAATACAGTAATTTGTATTCCAGTTTGAAACTAAAATGTACCTTTCTTTCAAAAAACAATTGTTGGCTTTCAAAAATATTACTAATTATACCTCAACATTTATTGTCATTATAGGGAATCCCTGAACTTGTGCATTCCCTCAGTCTAGGATTACTATTTCAGAAAAAAAAACCCACTTGAATATTTTCCCAGTAGAATTTTATAATTTCTCAAATTAAATACTATGGTACTATTCAAAATAGGGGTTTTTTTATCACAAATAAATATAGTTTAGGATAAGTCTGGTTTCAATGCTTTAAAAAAAAAAAAAAAGACAAGTATGCCATTCAGTGGCCAATTTGCTACTAATATAGCTAAGACAAACATGATTACTTCTAATTTAAAAAAAAAAAAAAACCATGAGATCCCTACATAAGAACACAATTATCATGGGGCTATTACCAGTTTCAGTGTTTCTCAAGTATATTCACTGCCAAGAAGTGTAAGACAAATTTGTTTAACAACTTCAGCCATTCATGTCATGCTGCTCTGCAGGACTCTTTTGGATAAGGTTTCATCCCTGGTAAGAGAAGCTGGCACTGTGGGAGAAGCATCCCTGGCTGAGGATCAGTTCACCAGGATGCTTATCCTTGGCAGCAAAGCAGTCTGTGCCATCTTGTCCAATCAGTCAAATTCTTTCTTCCCTTGTGCCACCGCAGAGCCCAGAGAAGCAGTAGGAATCAGTGCTGAAAATGGGATTTTTTTTTTTTCTTCAATGTGTGCTAAGAATACTAGACCAGACCTACCCTGAGGAAAAAGTGACAAAATTTGGTAAAAAAAGGAAATGCTCCTCTAGATGCACCTAGAGGGTATCTACACAGGAGAGCTCCCTAAGGAAATTCTTTCAACCTGCTTTTCAGCTTAACAGGAGGGATTTATCACCCAAGAGCTCCTTTAAGGGGAAGCTTGAGTATAGGGGAAAGCTTTCTAGAGAGTCAGTCCTGCCTGTTCCTCCTTTGTGGCAATTTCCCTGTTAGGCTGCTGTCAGGACAGCAATGCATGTCTCCACACTTATCCCTCCTTTCAGAGAATTAGCTGTTGTCTGGCAACATGGGAAGAGGATGCTCAAATGGCAACTGACACCTATCTCTCCTGTCTCCACTCTCTGAAGCATGACACCACCATCTGACAGGCTCTGCCAGTGGCTTCGGGAGGATAGCTGGGCCCTCAGTGGTGTTCCTTTCCCAGCTGGGTCGCTGCTGATCCATGCCAGTGCCAGACACTTGGCCTGGCTTTGCCATCAGCAAAAGAAAAGCAGCACTGCAGCTACTCTTGACTCCTCAGCCACTAGAACACATGTGCTAGAACACATGGCAGCAAAACATAAAATCAAGTACTGGGCTCACTAAATAATTATGCTTTTATTCCTGCCCAATTCATCTCTGCCCAAATATGCAACAAAGATCAATACATGTGATAATAAATGTTGTCAATGGGTATTTTTAACAGTGATTATTCTGAGGAACATTTTTTTTTCTCTTGATGCCGTCTTGTGAGGTGTACATCTGCTGCCCCAGCATTTGCTCTGGAAATGATTTGCTGGGATGTACCTCATCCAAGGGAAACTGGCAGACTGGCACATCCTTTCCCACAGCAGATGCCAGGCAGCCCAGCTCAGCCATGCCAACCTCTGCCTCTTGCCTTCACTGCTTCCCCACTTGCAATCAGGGCTCCTCCAGCTGCCTCAGCTTACGCTGCCTATCTGCAAGAAGCATCTGATTAAGTTGGGGCTGCAATCTTGTAAGATTGTCTTATGGGAAAGCTGCAAAGAAAGGCCACCACTGACAGGTCCTGAGCTGGGCAGTGAGACAGCGAGACCAAAATGTTGAGCTGTTGTCAGCAAGAACCACTCTCTGGCATCTTGATTTTTTAATCAGATTCCACAGCCTGAGAATCCTGGAGACCAGAGAGGCTAACCAAGACCACTAGTTCACTTCACTCTTCTCAGAGCTGTCTCCAAGTTACAGCCAACATGTACATTTACAGGATTACCTTTGCAAGTTGTAGCTAGGATTAGCAGCTTTGTTTTGTTATGAAAGCTGCATGTTTTACTGTAACTCCACAAGGATGTAAGACCTCACTAGGATTTATTAAAAACTCCAAAGTAAAGCTAGTAGCTGTGGAGAGAAACACCTGAAGCACCTGCAAATACTAAAACCAGATTGAAAATGGCTGAATTTCATACCTGCAGCTTATTTTCTGTGTGTTACTTCAGGTCTGTTGACCGTGTTATGTTTTATTTAGAGAATACCAAGGCTATGTGTGTGAACAAGAGGGCAAAAGGAGGGGCACAGTGTCTGTCAGTGTAGAAGTCAAAGCCCTGTGAGCTCCGGGATCCCCTCTTTTGATGACAGACAGTAACCACTGAAGTACTGATGCTAACAGAGTTGTTTTCAAGCTGTTTGGCAAGAAAGTGGTAGAATTCACTGTTGAGATGCATATGAACCATTTATTTGACTGCATGAGGACGGGATACTGTTGTAACACTGCCTTCTGTGTGCCCCGGTGCTTGTGCACTTGGTGCCAAACACACAGCTCCTGCTGCTACCGCCACCCTCCTTGGCAGCAGCTGAATGCTGAGGCTGGAGCTTCCCCTGCTTACTGGAAAGTATCCAGCCATGGTGCTCCAAAGAACAGATGCACAGAGAGAAACTATTTCTGTTTTGCTACAGAACATGGATTTTTCTGGAAGAAAAAAATCCTGTAGTAATACAAAAACTGACCATGCTCTGTCAGTGGTCAGGGATGCCATGTAAGGACATCAGCAAAGCTGAACAGTTAGTGTGATTGTTCATGATTTTGCAAAAAGACTGGCAGAAGAAGATGAAAAAAAAACTTTATCACATGTTGCATGAATAGTTTCTCCTTTCTGTCTTCAGAGAATCTCTTCACTCATATGGGAATCATCATCTGCATTGCTCTGGGCTTGGTCACTGGAGATCTTGGATTTTTTGTATGTTTCTGAGGAATCTGGCTTTCTAACTCATCACTGTTCCCTGTACTTCTTGCTTGACCTTCAGCAGCATCACAGCCAGCAGGCCAAGTCTCTGACCCAGATATGGGGAACATGATAGAAAGGCAGGGAAGAAAGTTTTGTTTTCTAGTAGGACTTCTCATTGCATAATCCTTTATCAGTTTTTTTCAAAATAATTGATGTATAAAGTTTATGTATATATAAATTGTTTATAAAGCCTGGACTTCGAGTGCAAACAAATTAACCCCAAATTTCTAGCTTTATCGGTAATCCTCTTTGCCAGTACTTTGGAGTTTGGGGGTACCTAAACCTGAAATTTCTATTCTTCTCCAGAGTTAATGAAGAAATGTGATGAGTCTTTTTATCAGAGCAATAAAAAGGTAGAAGGTAATATACGAATCCTGTTAAAACACGTTCTAAGGTCTGAACACTGCGGCATTAACCAACTCTACTCTCTCATTGCCATTTAACTGTGGTGGAGCAGCATGTCCCTCAATTGAGTAGCATTAAATTCTGGGACGATGACCCATGGGCACTGGAGCCAGCACTGCAGAGTCTGTGGAGCCTGGTGTGCAAAGGTGATTACTTTGTACAGCAAGCTGAGGCCACTTTGCACCTGAATAAAAGCTACCCCATGGGGATTAACAGGCTTTAATTTCTGCAACAGCTTTACCTTTAGTTGAGTTTTCTAACTTTTCCAGCTTTCTACCTGTAGTGAAACTGTGAGAGAGCATTTCCTAAGATGTAAATACAGACAAACCTGAAGTTCTTCAGTGCCTACCTTCATTCAAAGAAGCAAATGAAGCTTTTAATGTTATAGGCAAAATCTCTTCAGGCTAAGGGTGTTCCTGTCCTGCTCCCGTTTGATTTTAGAAATAGGATGGGGGTGGTATGCAGGGACAAGGATAACTTTCTTGTCACTTCTAATCCATCTCCAGATCTTCATGAATCTCTGCATTTTTTTGGTTTGGATATGGGCAGGCCTCCTGGCTGAGCTGCCTCAAATCACTGTGTCCACCACTGCCTCCATCACTGCTTGAGTACAGCGAGTCCCTGAAAGTGAAGCCTGCAGACATGGGGTGGGCCAGCAGCCAGAGCATACCCCATGTATCTCCAGGTCCTCCAGTTTTGGGGAACTGGGATAGGAATTTGCTTTCCTACCATGGGTAGGGATCAGTGCTCAGCCATGGTCCTGAAGGCTGTTCTCAGAGATGCTTCTCCCTGAGGCAGGCCATGAAAGGCAGGGCACATCTCTCAGGCAGAACTGAAATACTGTAATTGTTATTATTTGGTTTTGCCTCTGTGGCAATAGATTCATTAGAAATACCTTGTTATTTAGCATACATCTATTTGCTGAACTTTCAGTACATTTTTATACTAAATGTTTGAAGTATTATGAAAGCGAAGTAGAAGGGCTCTTAACTCTCCCTGTTGGCAGCAGGAGCCTCTTCTCCTGCAGGAAACCCAGTGCAGGCCTTGGGTATGCAGCCCAGCACAGACTCTGCACTTACAGGGAACTCGGCAGAGGCTGTGGTTTGGTGCTGTGCTGAGGCCTTGGCTGCCCGACTTGGCAACTTCAGCTGTGCCATCTTAAAATGAGTTCTCAGTGTGCTTGTGGAAAAGGTTACCCTCCATCGAGCAGGGAGACAACACACTGCCGTTTTACTTAGCAGGGCTGGCACAGGAGCTACCAGCCTCTGTTGGCAGGCATGTTAACTCTGAAACCTAACAATGGCTCAGCCATGCTCCCTTCAATAACTCTCTTTCGGAACGGTGGCAAAGTGGTGACCCGGTGTCGGCAGCAACGCGGTAGCAGGGGCTGGGGCCGTCTAGCGGGGATGGTGGTGGGGGCACGCACCCTGACAGATCCTCTTTGCCCCCGCAGCTCCCTGGCATGGCAAGGTGGCTTCCAGGTCTGCCCCTTCTTCGTCGGCCACGGCATCGGGTCGTACTTTCACGGGCACCCCGAGGTGTGGCACCACGGTAAGTGGCCCCCGCCCGCCGGGCCCGTCTTCCCCGCTCCGCTCCGCCCGGGCGATGAGAGGGCTCCGGGGAGGGGGAGAGGGAGGGCGGTAAAGCGAGCAGAGCCCCACACATACACACACCCCCCCACGCATGCTGCCGGTCCGGCGGGGCGGGGAATTGCCGGTGGGGAGATTAAATCGCTGGGAAGCTGGAGGGCATCACCAGCCTCGTTTTCTGAGGGTCGCGTGGGTATTTATGAGGACAAGTCGCTCGTTAACGGAGTTGCCGGGGCAGCGAGCACCGCGGACCGCCTCCCCCGCCCGCTCCGGGCGGCGGCCGCCCTGTCCCGCGCTCCGCATCCCGCCCGCGCCCGAGCCGCGCCGGCAAAGTTTGTCACGGGGCAAAGAAAAATCTCTGCTAAAACGTTCAGGCTCCCGGCCTGGACGGAGCCGCCGTCGGGGTGGTCTCGCTGCGGCCGGGGTGGGATCGCTTTCGGCGGGTGCTCCGGCTCATAACGGGGCTCGGGTGCACAGTACCTGCGACCTAAAAAGGGGTTTAAACAAAGGGCTTGGTTGCGTTCTCAGACAGTGATTTGTTAATGGAAGAGGGAATGGCGTTCACAATAGGTTAGTAACTCTCTGCTATGGTTTTCTGCTAAAAAGCACACACGGAGCAGCCCAGATCTGTAACATTTCTATTTCTTTATTGGGATATAGAAATAACCGTGCAGACAGGGGGACGTCGGTGAGATTGACCTCTTAGGAAACAGATTAAAATATAATTTTTAAAAATGCATTAGAAACTGTTAGGATTAAATAATTTTCAAATTACAAGATTTAAAGAATGAAATGTTAATTATAAATTTTGCTAATATTTGACTCCTATTTTTGGCAAGGCAGAGACTCTGCCCGCGCACTTGATTTGAGGAGGGTGAGAAGGATGCGATCGTGTCCCCGAAGCCGAGCAGCCTGGTGGCACTTAGTCGCTGCCTTCCAGAGCTGCTGTTGGGTTTGGGGACTGCGGCGGCGGTAACCAGCCGGAGCCTCGCCCCGCAGACTGATCGTGCTCACTTCTAATCGTAGAGAACTGCTGAGGGAAAAGCCTTCGTTCTCACTGTGTGGCTAAATGGCACGGCAATTAGAAGGAAATAAGAAAATTGTTGTTTTGCTGATTTAATGAACATTTTAAGCCTGTTTTAAAAATTCAAATATTTAAAACTATCTGTTGTTTATAAATGTGGTTGTTGCTTTGGTTATTATCCTCACGGTCTTAATTAAAGCTTGATTAAAATTCCATGCTTTTACAAAAGAGAAATGGGCAACTTCCTACCTTGCTATTTTGTCTTCCTTTTTAGTTCACATTTTAGTGTGTCAAGAGAATGCCAGCCCAGGGAGATGGGACCTGTGTGGAAGGGGAGCTACTTGCCCCCCTCTTCTTGATTGTTTCACAATCCATACAGGAGTGCAACTAACTTTAGAATGCATTTTGTTTTTCTTGCTGCAGAGCCAATAATAATGGAAGGATCCCCTGAATTTAAGATTCTGGAGGACAAATGGACTGCAATTTCTGTAGACAATAAAAGGTGCCTGATTTTATTTTTTGGTATTTCCTAAGACATGGAACTCATCGCTGACAGCCCAAAAAACCCAAACAGATGATTTTCCAGGCATGGTGCATGTGTTTTCCCCCTCATAACTGCTAAATGTGAATTTCAGATCGGCACAATTTGAACATACGCTGGTGATTACCTCAGAGGGAGCAGAAATCCTCACTAAACTGGTGGAAGAAGCCTAAAGATGGAGCAAGGAGTGGAGAGACTTGCTGTACTTCTGGGATTTCAAGTTTCACTCGGGACAGAGAAGAGGTTTCTGTAATTTCTGAGGGGAATGGCTGTTGCATAAGTCACTCCAGGGGACAGAAAAAGCAATTTGAGGGGTTGCCTCTGGACATAGTTCTTTCTGTGTATTACCTGGTGAGTATTTAATAAAAGTCTTTAGGTTTTTTTGTGACCCTAGGAGCAGCCATGCCCAGTCTGCAAGTGGCAAAGGGTTTGGGTTATTTGGGGTTGGGGCAGAAAGTGGCACCCCTCTCTTCCAAATCCTATGTGGGGCAAATAGATATCAGATGATACAGTCTTTAAGCAGTTCAGAGGACAGAGAAACATGGCATTTTCCCTTTATAGCTGAGGCATGGAGTCAATTTGTCTTCATTGTGATTAACACAGTGCTGTTTCCCAGGCTGTAACTTCTACTAGGATGGAAAAAAGTTTCCTGAGAGTGTCAGGCAGAGGGAGCAGACTCTTCCCAGCATCATTCCCAGCATCATTCCCAGCAGCAATCCCCTGCTTCTTGCCTCTTTTTACACAGCACAAAAAGTGATTAAAAATGAGATGCAAAGCACGTCTCTCCGGGGATCAATAATTGCCCTGCTTGAAAAATTAGCCAGTTTGGGGTAATCACTGCTCTGTGGTGCCCATGTTGGTTAAGGGAGAGGCGCTCTACAGTTTAAGCATTTTATGGAAGCAGAGGAGCTTGCAGTCTGGAAGATGAGTCCTGACTCCTGCACAGAGTTTGGAACCGACGGACCTCATGAGCTGCGGTCTCACTCGGCCCTGTGCTCTCTGCAGTCCTGTTCTGGGCCTGCCAGGCATGCAAGGGTTGGTTTGCACTTTAGCCAGTTGCTGACCACCCCGTGGGACCAAACAAGTCTCGCATTGATATTTGGAGGCTACCAGAGCAGGACCTGGGCCTGTGAAATGTGGGGTAGCCTTGGAGATAATTAAAGGACTTCCAGAAGTTCCCCAGGCCTATGGCAACAGTGGTGCTGTGCTGTTTGGTACAAGTGACTTGGCCCTCATTGCAGGCAGAGAGGGTCGCATGCTGAGGGCTGGCCAGTTGCACATTCGGGCAACCAGAGTGGCTCAGCACTGGCTCCCTCAGTGGTCCTGGACAGAAGTAAGCTGCTTTCTTACAGCTCTACTCTGCTGTTTACTTCCGTTCAAGTACAGTGAGCTCTCAGCTCTAATAGTTTCTAACAGCAGCTTTTCAAAAAGCGGGGACCCCCCTCCCTGAATACAGCTAACACTGCGGGGCAGCCACTCAGCTTCATCCTCCCCGAGAGGAGCTTGGAAGGCCATAAAACCTGCAAAACAAACAATGCAGCCAAGTTTACAAATACGCAGAGATTAAACAGTGCGAAGGACAGCATTGCCTGGAGGGGCATGTATTTTGCTCCCTTACGTTCCATCGCTCAGCCGCGCTGCCGGTTTTGAGGGGCACTGGGAGCAGCAGGGTGTCCGGTGCGTCCCGGGAGGCGCACCAGAGGTGCCTCCCGTGGATTTTGGCCGCGCCGGGAGCCCCTGGATGACACCGCAGGTGCCGTGTTTCTCACCATCCTCTGCCCTTTGCCCCCTGTCCTGCTCTTACCGCGGCGTGGGATGAAGCGGGAACGGGGCAACCGGGAGCAGGGAGCCCCCCGCAGCCCATCGCAGGGGGACTGCCGGCAGCTCCTGGTAATCATTGCGCTCTGAAGTCCCGCCGGTAACTCTGCTGGGACTGCGAGTTTTACCGGCCGCTGCGGAGCGCTGGCGGCCAGGCGGAGGCATTGATAGAGCACCTTTGTAATCCTAATTACGAACGAGACTGAAGAGATGTCTCGGCTGTTCGGGCACAGCCAGCGCCTCGCACAAGCCCATCATGCAGAAGGTGTTGCCGGGCCAGCACGATGAGAGCCCCGACGTGGCAGTCGCTCCCGCGGGGTCAGGACGCCCTGCCGCCGTGGCCCCCCGGCGCCCGCCGAAGCCGCGCTCACCGGGACCACGGAGGGGCGGAGGCCCTGCTCTGCAGGACGGGGGCGAGCAGAGCCTCACCGACCGCGGGGTTTTGGCGAGGTTGGGGGAACTGTGGCTCGCCCCGGACCGCTTGTGTCCGGCCGTTCGGAGAAGACGGCAGTCCCGGCGGACGCGGAGCGGCTCTCTGCAGTTGTCAGGCTGAGGCCGGCGAAGGTGCCGGAGCTGCCCTGTTCCCTGCCCGGTCACGCTCGCTGACCCGCCTCGGGTGGTCACTTCCATGGCCAGGAGGGCAGAGCTGGCTGGCGGGGGGCACCGTGTGAGTGCGGAAACACCGTCACTGCCCCTTCTGCCCCAAGCCTCGGAGAGTTAGTGAGAATGAACTTAGCGCATTGCGAACAAATTTAAAAAAAAAAAAAAAAAAAAACACCAAAAAAACTAACCCAAAACATTGAGGGGAAAAAAAAGGGGCGGGGGGGAAGGAGGTAAAAGCGTCGTGAGGAAACGGGCAATTAAAACCGACAGAGCCACTAATGAAAGGAGAGAGAAAAAAAAAAAAAAAAAAGGGAGCAGAGGGGCTCGGTTGTGCCAGCTTTGCACAGTCAGGGGCCGGCTGCTCCAAGGGCCGTCGCTGCCCGAAGGAGCCTGAACACTGTGCGCGCTCCGCCGCGGGTGCCCAAGCCCCGCTGCCGGCGCTAGTACTTCTAACGACATCAACGCTGCGATTTGTTTTGAATGTTCATTTTTATTGGTGTTCTCCCTTTGCCAAAATGTGCTTGATTACATAGATGTAGTGCAGTGATAACTGCGCACCCTAGACAGCCTAGGTGTAACCGGGAAAGTTCAGCCCAGGCCAGATCAAATCCCAGGCTGTTTAATGCTGGAAGGCTGCATGTTGCTATTAGTGTTAAATATATGGCTAATTATGCGTATGAAAATTAAACATCAGTGTTATGCTAATGGGGCCGCCTTCAGCTGTGGATCAGAGCACTTGAGACTAGCATTTAATCAAATGAATCAGTAACTAATACATCTGCACGTGTGAACTTTCACAAGATCATTTTCCTGTTACAGTCACACCGCAGAATTATGAAAGAAATAATTATCAACACTTTCTAATTATCTAGCAAAGTAATTTGGGATTCATCGTAGGCTTTCTGGGGAGGATCTCCTAAGTCCCACCTCATTTACTGCTCACGCACGTGGAAGTTTTCATTTTAAGCTCAAATGCGCCGTTGGGCCCTTTCAGGGGGACTTTGGTTGGTTGGATGGCTTTTTTCCCTTTAAAGCGAAAACGGCAGTAGCCGGGCGGCGCGATCTGGAGCTGCGGACGGCGCTGGGCCCCGCGGGCCGGGCCCGAGAGCCCCTCGCTCCCGGGGAGCGCCCGGCGGGCGGTGGCCGCTCGCTTTGTCCGCGGGTCCCGCCGCCGTCTGCCGGAGCGGGGCGGGCAGCTGCAAAACCCCTGCAGCCCGCCGAGGCCGGCCGAGCACGGCTGCTGTCCCCTCCGCGCATCCTTCGCGGCGAGGGGCGGAGAAGGGCGGAGGGGGTTGCGGTGCCTTCCGCCAAAGTCCGGATCGGCGCCTTCGGTGGCCGGCGGCGGGAGCGGGCGGCTTGCGATGGGAGCGGGTTCCTGGGCGGCTCCGTGCCGGGGCCGGCCGGGAGCGGGGCGGGCGTGCGGCCGCCGCCGGCGCTCGGGCAAGCGCGGCGCTGCCAGCCCGGCTCTCCGCGCTCACCGGGGTCCGGGCGAGCCCCGAGCGCCTCGGACCAATCCAAAGCGATTATGCAAGACGGCGGACCAATCAGCTCCGCCGTCTCATGAATATTCATAGACTTGGCTGAGTCAAAGCTTTTAGGCGAGTTTGTGTAGATCTACAGCATCATGCTTAGACTTTTCAAAGAGACAAACTCCATTTTCTTATGAATGGAAAGTGAAAAACCCTGTTTCGCTTAAATTGGGTTCTTTCCTGTCCTGAGAAACACAACAGACCCCAAAAAGGCAAGCTGAAGAGAGAACACACACACAGACCAAGCGACAAGAAATGACCATGACTACCATGCCAGAGAGTCTAAATAGCCCCGTCTCAGGGAAGGCTGTCTTTATGGAGTTTGGGCCGCCCAGCCAGCAAATGTCTCCTTCTCCCATGTCCCACGGACACTATTCCATGCACTGTTTACACTCCGCGGGCCACTCTCAGCCTGACAGCTCGTACAGCACAGCTTCGTCCTTCTCCCGACCGCTGGGCTACCCCTATGTGAACTCGGTCAGCAGCCACTCGACCAACCCCTACATCAGTTCAGTGCAGTCCTACCCCAACAGCTCCAGCCTGACTCAGACCCGGTTAGAGGAGACAGGTAGGTGCACTCGGCTTTGGGGAGGGGGGGGGAGGGGAGGAGGGAAGGCAAGGAGGGAGGGAGGGTGTTGTATTAAAAAAAATCTATCGGGGAAAAATTAAATTAAATTACAAAATATTAGTCAAGATAGGCTGAGAATCACAGGGGACCAATACACAGAGCACACAATGCTTGGCTGGAAAAGAAACCAACCCAGATGTGCACGTATTAGTCTTCGTAATTATTTATTGCGTAGCGCTATAAACAATGTATGCAATTAAGGGTAATTAAACCTAAACTGCAGCCTGTAAAAATAGCAAACTTTCGCTGGGAAGAAGCCTGGGCTGCCATAATCGCCCGGAGCCTTTGTTAGCATTACTCGAGCTTCACTTTTCTTCCTTCTCATTATTGTTATTGTCGATGTTGCTGTTGTTATTGTTACTGCTGCTGCTATTACTGTTACTGCTATTATTGCTATCGCTGCTATTATTATTATTTATTCTGCATCGTTTGTTGTTTGTAGGGGCCGAATCGGAGAAAAGCACTGTGGTAGAAGGAGGGGAAGTTCGTTTTAATGGGAAAGGGAAAAAAATCCGCAAACCCAGGACTATTTACTCCAGTTTGCAGCTACAGGCTTTGAACAGGAGGTTCCAGCAGACTCAGTACCTGGCTCTCCCCGAAAGAGCCGAGCTCGCAGCTTCTCTGGGACTCACCCAGACCCAGGTACAGCTCCGACTGAGTCGGCCCCTCTCTGGTGTCCCCTCCGTGTCCCCGCCGTGAGCGTGGGAGGCCACACGCGTTAACGGGCACGGGTCACAGCCGTGTGCAGCGGGGCCCGGGGCGGCGCCGGCACCCGTCCCGCCGCGGGGCGCTCCCGGTGCTGTGGAAGCC